ATCTTAGAGCACAAACCAAAAAAAATATATAGTAACTAGAAAACATAAGCTTCATGTACATACTCACATGCTTAACTAGATGCTCACTTGAAATTGGCATTTAATCCAAACAATAAATATATCAAGAAATCAAAATACGTCTCACACATGTTTGTAATAGATATAAGAAGGTTAAACATGAATATAAAAATACACATAAGCCTATTACACAAGCACAATTAATTCATAGCTCAAAGACATTTGACATGAGGACTCTTTAAAATTAATTGTGCATGTGGTAACATAAGCTCTTAGTGCAAAGCGCAAATATGAGACAACCAAGGAGTACATGGAAACACAAATTACCACACAATGGGTAGTCACCAAATTCACTCTCACTAGGATGAAGATTCATTTGGAACTAGTGTAACATTTTGATTTTCAAAATAAAAATAAAATAAAATTGTTTAAGTAATATTTATATTATGCACTTAATTAATTAATTTAATTTAATTTATAATATAAATAAAGAACATTTTTAAAAATAAAATAAAAAGATCATAAGAGATGGGTTAGAGAGGAGTCTTTTGAGTTGGACTCTTGAGATCACCCAAAGTCTTATTAAAAATAAGAGGAAGAGGGTTTGATCAATTTTGTGTGTTAAATTTCTAAATCCTAAAATGCTACAAAGGAAAATCCTAAAAAGCGTGTAGAGTAGTTGCAAAGACAATAGATGAAAGTGTCAAATTTTATGAGTCGTTATGAATATTAAGAATTAAACGACTTGTATAAATTATTGTTGTGTGATGAGTTAGTATGCTATCCATATGTTTTATATGCGTTATACATGTGTAAGATATATTCTCACTAGTCTTGTTATTCTTGTGTTTTTGTTTCTTGTTTGGGCTGAATGTCATACATGAGCTAATCAGGTATATGATGTTGAACATGAGGGAGATGAAAGTTGAGGCTTCAATTTTATGTCTTGGGTCTTATTATAATAGTGTGAAATTGAGGCTAAAGAATTTTGTGTTTATTTTATACTTTTAACTTGAATTATTTTATTGTGTTGGTTTCTTGAAGGTTTTCATAAATGTCAGTTTGTTCCTATGTTATAAACTTATATTTTATTTTTATTTCATCTGGTTAATAATGAGGTTTTTATTAACTAAAATTAAAGATATTTGAACTCTTTTACAATACGAAATAAAGAAACTTGTTTTTTTTATTAAATATCTGCTAAAGAAATATTTTTCTAATATTTTTTTATGATAAACACTTTGAGGGTAAAAAAGTGTCGTAACTAATAAGGTTTTTCTAGTTGCGCATGGTCACCACTTCATCAACATGTTGATAAGAAGATCCCAACTATGAACCTCAAGGTCAAGACCTAAACTTCACACATATTGCATCTTTTTCTCAATTTCACATATAGATCATAACATAATATTGCTTTCACAAAACTCTTAAGTTCTTACACTCTCAAATATTTACTTATTATTTACACTCTAACACTTATACATTATTCTCTAATTTGTTTATAAATTTATATCATATACCCTATAATTTGCAAGGTAAAATTACCTTTACAAGGAAAACAACACACTTCTCACATAATTTAGCACAATTGTGATATTCTATAGAACGGTCATGTTCAAGCCAAATAAGGTCCATCACAAATGTGGTGCCTCTTACCACGATTGCGCTTAATTTGGCATATATAGCTTTACTCATTTATAGATGTTCTTATTATAAACACAACTACTCTAACTTAGCACAACCTTAGTTCAAGTGTGCTCACTAGCATGAATGTGTTATTAACTCCTAGCATGATCATGCTTAACATGAGCAAGGTCATGTTTAAACTTCACCTTTTAGAAAAACCTAAGCACAATTATGTTTAAATAGCATGACCATGCGTGCTTAAAATTAAGCAGGATGTGTTGACTCTTAGCATGACAATGTTCCAACTAAACATGAATGTGCTATTAGTAAAAAAGTCCCAAAATGTGCGAACTTATGTTCTGTTAGGCATAAATTTCTTCTCTTAAATCTCTTTGATTTTGCATCAATTCGCTACACTTATTATACTTCTCTTATTTATTTGGATTTTAAGTTTATATAACCTATAATTCATACTCAACTCAAACATATAACAACAATTGCACAAAATACCCAAATCAACATATGAGCCCTAAAGTCACAAAAAGGGTAGAAAATGCATATTAGCTAAAATCAACCATTAATAAACATAATTAACAAACAAATCATGTTATCAACATTGTTGTGGGTGACCATATCCTTTAATCACATACAAAAGAATCCTGACGAGGTTTAGGGACAACCCCCCATCCATATTCCTTATATGCACACATGAGAGATAATTTTTACTCCTTGTCTCACCTCAATAAGCAATCACTTATGCGAAAGGGTTCAATTCCTAAATCCCAATTTTATTCCTCTTGTTCCTTAGGTAAAGTCTCCTCTACAATTTCGCTAAGCATTAGAAAGCAGGCCAAACTCCAACTAAAGCATACATTGACTTACTCCACCAAACTCTCAACAAGTAATTGATGGTTCTGGGCTTTTAGAGTCCAAATGATGGAAACCTACTTTCCAAGAATCCCTTTGGAAGAGATAAGTTTAAGAAGAGTGAATGCTAGAGTCTATGATGGTGGACCATCCTTTAAGGCTATAGGATCATGTCAAAGGTCTATGGTTAAGAGGCTAAAGAAAACTACTAGAAAGGATGGTTTCTTAAACCTTTTCTTATCATGAGTATAAAGTATGTGTTATCCTTATAGTTACTTAGTCTTCTATTGTATATACTTTGTATAATTTTATTTTCATTCCTTTGTATATAGTACATAAGTTGTTTTTGCCCTTATATTTAGGGGTGTATGTTTCTTTGTTTTTAGTTCATGCCTTTAGGATTTATAGACATGTTCCTTTTTGAAATGTATTCCATTTGACCTTGTATTTATGGTCACAAAATTTTAGTTTCTTTGAGTTTAGTAGTTGGAGTGGAAATAATCATTCTAGTGATGTGACAATAATTATTCTAGATGGTGTAGAAGTAGTAAAGGTGTGGAAATAGCCAAAAATGATATTGGATTTTTTTTTCTTCTCTTGGCCTAAGGATTTTATTTAGCTTGGTTTAAGCTTCATTTGGTTAACCAAAACAAACCAAAGGCTATCTTGACTGCCTATTTTGGCTTAATTTTCCACCTTGGAACTACTTCTCCAACCACCTAAAGAAAAGAGGACACTTGGCACTTGCTCATGTTGACTTTTAGATTTAGTTGTCCTGCATGTCTCAAACATGTCCATATGGATTGTTTGTGATTGGTGGAACTATATCTAAGTTTCTCCTCCCTGTCTCCTGGATGCTTAACTTCCTCCCCAAGCTACCTAACTCTATATATAGGAGTTTTGACCTATTTTGTACACTCGTTGAGTTTGATATTAATTTGGCCTAGATAATTCCTTTCCCAAACTCCCTCTCAAAACTTGTTTCTTTCTTTAAAATTCTTCATTTTCTCTTATTCTCTCTTAAGTGTGATGAGAAATTGAATATACTTATCATTCTTCAAAAGTGGGGTGCCATCAAGGAAACTTTCTACATTATCTTATGTGGTGAAAATGCTGGAAGCCATTGAAGAAATTTAAAGGAGTTCAAAAAATGAAGATCCTTTCGTAGAAATTTGAATAAGAAACTATTTCAATCTAATTTCTCCAAGAATTTCCATCATCAAATCCATTACTTATCCATTATATTAACATAGCCTTCTCAACCCATTTATTTTATTTTTCCTAAATCAAAATTTATTTTTAAAACTCCAATTAACTAAATTGATTGAAAGAAAAAATAAATTATATATTATAAATTATATTATCCTTATTAAATAAAAAATTATTTATTACAAATTCAACAAACTTCTTATGGGATGGTTGGAAATAAGATTTCACATTTTTTTAATAAGAATAAATTAAAATATTATTTATTAAAACTTCTAATTTTTACAATTATTTAAAATTAATGTAATAAGTAATAAATTATTTTTTATCTATCAAATTTAGTAAATAATACACAAATAAAAGTTCAAATGATGTAAGGAAAATGGTTCCAAATGATTAGTTATATTAAATATTATGGAGTATTATTATTATTATTATTATTAAAAAAGATATTATGTGCTCATATTAAAAAAAATAGGTTAAATTATTATTTTAATTAATTTATTCGATTGATTTTTTTATGATTAAAATGTTTAATTTGATGTCTTAACTTTTTAAAATAATATAGAGTAATTCTTTTCATCCAATTGAGATTCAGAATATATATATATATATATTATTGTTTCACATATACAAGGTTTTTGTATAAATAAAACACATAGTAATGGAGAAAATTAGAATACATAACTGGAGTTTAAATATCTTTTACAATATTAATACTAAATCTAATATTTCTTTTATGTATAATTATAAATTATAAATTTTTTTTTGGGTAAGGTATATAGTTAAAAATATAATTTTTTTCCTTAAAAAAACGAAGAAGATATAACTTTTATTTTGTGATATTTTTAAGGCTTAAATATGTTTTTAGTCTCTCAAATTTAAGGTAAATTTATTTTTAGTCCCTCAAATTTAAAATTGTTATTTTTAGTCCTTCTAATTTTTAAAAATCTTATTTTAGACCCTTAGATCACTAGTAACATATTTGAAAGTGACTAATTAAGACATTTATGTGATATTAATCAGATTTAATGTGATATTTTCACTATTAAGGATATCGATAAGTAGATTTTATGTAATAATGTTTAATAAATTTCTTAACAAAATTTGAATATAAAGACTAAAATAAAATTTTTTGAAATTACATGAACTAAAAATAATAACTTTAAATTTAAAGAATCAAAAATAGATTTATTCGACGAAAAATATATTTAAACTTATTTTTAATATGCAAAACACACTTTTTTGGTTGGAGTCGTTGGGACTTGTGTGAGGAGGGAAACTTGAAGTGTAGTGTAAGCCCTAATCGGTGTGACGATTTCATTACATAGAAAAAAATAGTTGGGAATTTTCTCTTCAACAACAACCATGTTTGCATCATCCTTCTTCCTCACCAAAACCCTTCTCCCAAAACCCTCGTCCCTTCTAAGCCCGCCACGTGTCCCTCTCCCTCTCCCTCTCCGCTCCCACACCCTCCCCGTACCCGCCAACACCAAAAAGAAGAAGAAAAAGCCCTACGGCGGCGCCCTCCCCTCCATCCTCCGCTCCCTCCACGCCGACGCCGACGTCGCCAGCGTCCTCCACTCCCTCCCCGCCGCCCCCTCCCCCAAGGAAATAACCGTCATCCTCCGCGAGCTCTCCGCCACGTGGCACCGCGCCCTCCGCGCCTTCGAGTGGTTCAAGTCCCAACCCTGGTACTCCCCCAACGTCATCCACTACAACGTCGTCCTCCGGGCCCTCGGCAAGGCCCACCAATGGGACCACCTCCGCCTCTGCTGGGCCGACATGGCCCGCAGCGCCGTTCTCCCCACCAACAACACCTACAGCATGCTCGTCGACGTCTACGGGAAAGCGGGCCTCGTCCAAGAAGCGCTTTTGTGGATCAGGCACATGAGGGTGAGAGCCTTTTTTCCTGATGAAGTTACCATGTGTACTGTTGTTAAAGTGTTGAAGGATGTTGGAGAGTTTGATAGAGCTCATAGGTTTTACAAGGGGTGGTGTGAAGGGAAAGTTGAGTTGGATGACCTTGAATTAGAGGCTAGTTATAATGGTAGTAGTGCTAGTAGTGCTAATAATAATGGGTCAACATCAATGTCAATTAGTTTCAAGCAGTTTCTCTCCACTGAGTTGTTTAAGATAGGTGGAAGACTTGCGCCTTCTGATGTGGCACATTCGACGAATTTGAATTCGTCGAATGGGTTACAGAAGCCGAGGCTGTCTTCCACCTATAATGTGTTGATTGATTTGTATGGTAAGGCGGGGCGGTTGACCGAGGCGGCGAATGTGTTTGCAGAGATGTTGAAGGCGGGAGTGGCTGTGGATGTGTGTACTTTTAATACTATGATGTATGTTTGTGGGAGTCATGGGAATTTGGTGGAGGCGGAGGCTTTGCTTGGTATGATGGAGGAGAAAGGGTTGGCGCCGGATACCAAGACTTTTAACATTTTTCTGTCTTTGTATGCTGATGCTGGGGATATTGGTGCCGCGGTTTCTTGTTATAGGAAGATTAAGGAGGCTGGGCTGTGTCCGGATGAGGTGACTTACCGTGCTCTTCTTGGTGTGTTGTGCAAAAAGAGTATGGTACGAGATGTGGAGGATTTGATTGGGGAAATGGAGGAGGATTTTGGGGCTGTTGATGAGCATTCAGTTCCGGGTATTGTGGAGATGTATGTTGTTGAAGGGGATGTGGGTAAGGCGAGTGACTTGCTGAGGAAGTTGCGAAGGAATGGGGAGATGTCATCGAGTGTTCGTGCTGCGGTCATGGATGTTTTTGCTGAGAGAGGACTTTGGGCAGAAGCGGAGGATGTTTTTTATGGGGAAAGGGATTCATCAGGGCGGAAAAGGGACATTTTAGAGTACAATGTCATGATCAAAGCGTATGGAAGAGCGAAACTTTATGATGAGGCTGTTTCTTTATTCAAAGGAATGAAAAAACACGGGACTTGGCCTAATGAAAGCACGTATAATTCCCTTGTTCAGATGTTGGCTGGTGCTGATTTAGTGGAACAAGCAAGGGAACTCATGGTTGAAATGCAGGAAATGGGGTTTAAGCCACCATGTCAAACTTTTTCTGCTGTTATTGGATGCTATTCTCGTCTTGGCCAGCTTCCTGATGCAGTCTCTGTGTTCCAGGAAATGGTAAGAGTTGGAGTAAAACCGAATGAGGTTGTGTATGGATCTTTAATTGATGGATATGCAGAACATGGTAGCCTTGAAGAGGCACTTCAGTACTTCCACATGATGGAAGAATCTGGATTATCAGCAAATTTAGTTGTTTTAACATCCCTTCTAAAGTCTTATTGTAAGGTTGGAAACTTGGAAGGAGCAAAAGCTATCTATGAGCGGATGAAGAACTTGGAAGGGGGTCTTGATTTAGTTGCATGTAATAGTATGATTGGCCTCTTTGCAGATCTTGGTTTGGTATCTGAAGCTAAGTTGGCTTTTGAAAATTTGAGAGAAATGGGCCGGGCTGATGCAATTTCATATTCAACAATCATGTATCTTTATAAGGAAGTTGGTCTGATTGATGAGGCCATTGAGATTGCAGAGGAGATGAAACTGTCAGGATTATTGAGGGATTGTGTTTCATTTAATAAGGTACTGGTGTGTTATGCCTCCAATGGGCAATTCTATGAATGTGGTGAATTAATACATGAGATGATATCTCAGAAGCTGTTGCCAAATGATGGAACTTTTAAAGTGTTATTCACTATATTAAAGAAGGGAGGGATTCCCATTGAAGCAGTGGAACAATTAGAGTCATCTTACCAGGAGGGGAAACCTTATGCTCGGCAAACAACCTTCACTGCTTTGTACTCTTTAGTTGGTATGCACACTTTGGCACTTGAATCTGCTCAAACATTCATAGAATCTAAGGTGGATCTTGACTCCACTGCCTATAATGTTGCAATCTATGCATATAGTTCAGCTGGAGATATCAACAAGGCCTTGAATATATATATGAAAATGCGGGATGAGCATGTGGAACCTGATCTTGTAACGTATATTTATCTGGTAGGTTGTTATGGAAAAGCTGGCATGGTTGAAGGTTTGAAACGGATATATAGCCAATTAGAATATGAGGAGATCGAGTCTAGTGAATCTTTGTTCAAGGCTATCATAGATGCCTATAAAATTTGCAATAGGAAGGATCTTGCTGAGTTAGTTAGCCAAGAAATGAAATTCACGTACAACTCAGAAAAACATTCTGAAATTGAAAGTGAAACTGAATATGAAATTGGAAGTGAAGGTGAATATGAAGTTGGAAGTGAAGGTGAATATGAAGTTGAAAGTGAAACTGAATATGAAAGTGAAACTGAATATGAAAAATATAAATGAAGCTTCTTCAGGTCCATGTTGAGGTTGATAAAAAATTTGTATGAAGATGAATACAAATGCGGTTTAGCTAAGGTTAGTTCCAGTGCCTTCAATTCATAGATGAAAATATTCTGATTCAAAAAGTAGAATTGCATTTTAAAAAATCTAATCTGCTTTCTCACTGTGGACAGAAAGAAGACATGATATATATTGGAAGATCATGAACCCAGATTGACAAGAATCAAGGTCAATTATGGCCTGTGTTGCAGAGATTGGACTATTTTCAGTCCGTTCCTTGTAGGTTCATACTAATGCTCTGTTTGGATAGAGTGAATTAGGAAGGAAAGAGATATGAAAGATGTAAATAGAAGAGAAATAGCATAGAAATGTGTAGTTTAGATGAATAGAAAATACAAAAGGAAAAAAAAATGATACTTTTTCCTACTTTTTGGATGAGTGGAAAAGAGAGTACAAATAGATAAATGTTATAAAAATAATTTATTATGAAAAATTAAATATAACTTTAAAAATATGAAAATTTTATTGTTATTTTTTCTTAAATTTTTTATTCTTCAAGTTATAAAAAGAGTAATTAGTTTTAAAATCATTTTAAACAAAAATAAATATTTAACAAGCATATCTCCACTCGTTTCATAGGGCTAATTTGGTTGGTTGTTGGCTCAAAATTTTTCCTTTCTCTGATATCTAAATCCATATCCAAACAGTGAAAGAGTAATACCTTATCTATTTCCTTTCCCTTTGATTCCACCCAAACAAACACAAGGAAAGGGAACGCTCGGAGAACAACACCTTTAGATCCCAGAATTCGTCAACTGTTCTTTCAAGAGACTACTTTGGAGCTATTACAACCATTTGTTCATCAGATATTCTAAGCGAGTGTGAATTTGGTATTCATGTGTATACTAGAACTTGGCTGAATTCTCCTTGGTGATTTTGTCATCGAGAAGCGGAGACAACCTATTGTAGTTGAAGCCATCCCAGAGGTGTTGTTTGCCATGACTGATGTTGAGATTCTTGAATTAACCATATAAATTTTAGCCAAATTAGCACTTGTCTGTTTCTGAAAGCTGCTATTCTGCTTTATCGGTCAAGGCTACAGGCATAACAGATGCTATCTTCGGGATGGGTGCCACTAATACCTCAAGTGTTAGAATTTGGGGATAAATAACTGACCCTCTTCATACTGCAATGCAGTCCTCAAGTAGCAGTATTTTACGTTTTGGACTAACTTAATGATTTTGATGAAGACGAGAATTTAAAGAATGAAAGGCAAGTTCATTCACTTCAGGGATTAACCCTACTAATGAGAAGAATTGAAGAAGAGGTTTGTGAGAAATAATGTGGCTGTGATAATAAAATTCGTTTACCTTCGAAAGGCTTCACCTGAAGAATGCCCTTCAGTTGCAGTGATATTATTGCTGATTGAGCTCATGGTAATTCTAAATTCTAATTCATTCAACATGAGTGCTTATATGGAATGCACAACTATCTAAGTTTCGTGACTTGATTATTTTTAAAATCACAACTTTTAGTAGGAGTGTAAGTGAATATGGGTGATCTGTGAACATGAATTGATTCAAACTAATTCAATGAGTACAAATTGGAATTTTTAGTGTTTGGGACAGACATAATTCAACTCCATCACAATTCAACATTGTACCGGTTAAGTAGCGGGTATTTTATAACCCGTGACACAACCTAATAATAATAAGTTAGTATAATTAATTGTTTACGATAATACTCATTGTTACTCATATTCAATAATAGTTATTGTGTTTTTGAGTTGATAGCGTTGTAATAGTTCAACATATTTATTTTAAATTTTATTTTGTATTAATGTTGGTTCTTTGAGTCGATAACAATATAGTAAATTAACACTTATTTTAAAATTTAGTTTGTATTATTATTTGTTTTATCAATTGATAATATCACATTCGCAATAAGATATCAAATGATTTATATTTATTATGAAATATTTAAATTTTTATAAAAAATAAATAAATTTAATTATATTGATTTGATTGATTCAACTCAATTCAATCTCTTTGTGATCGGGTTGGGTAAAAAAAAACACACAATCTTATCCCAACCCAACTTATTGGATTTTGATCGGTCAAGTAATGGATTTATCCTAATCCAACTCAGTATAACCCGTTCACACCCCTCACTTTTGGACCCTCCATTATTATACATTAAAATGATTTCAATATCTTGAAGAGTTTATAAATGCCGTAGCAGTTCTGTTGCATGAAGATCCTTTTAAGTGCAGCTTACATAAAGCAGAAGCCACTGAGGCAGTTGTAGGCTTGTAGTTGTAGCTGCATTAAATTGTCAAATTTGTAAAGGGTTCACAGCAATCGGCCTGAGCTCTACTCTTATTATGGGCCATTTCTCTTATACAGGGAAATCATTAATGGAAAAATTGCTTTTACAAGATTCAGGTTTCGGAGAACTTTGCTTTGAAGATTCAATTCCTGGCAAGCAAATTGTTGTTTATGATTCGGTTCATGAGGTAAGCTCTGGTTAAAAACCATAATTTTGTTAAGTATAATGTTTAACTTGTCTTTCCTTGACACATGAGAGCATGCTTCTAGTACTCATGGTTTCTCTTTTTAGCACTTTCAAAATTATTGATTTGTTGTGTCTCTAATTAGAATGAGGAGGAAACTGTAGCTTTATCCGTTTATAGTGCGGTATTTAAAACTCTACTCCGTCCTACCTTCACTAGATAAAGACTCACTCAGACATCTCCGAAATCTCTCCTTGGTGTGGCTGATCTCAATTTTCTCAAAGTAGTTTGCAATTAAGACAATTATAAGTGAGCTTAAAATTTTTTGAATCTTTAAATGTTCTTTCTCTTTCATATATGTGTGATTTAATCATCCTTAAGTTTCTGTAAGTTGATTAGTTTGTAAGGGAATATTTCTATCAAAAGAAACGTAATATTTGTTTTGTTCATGATAGCTTATGATTTCACTATCCAGAAAGGTTTAATCAGAGGAAAAAACTACTGAAATAGATGGTGTGGGGGGTCTCTAAAAGTGACTTCAGTTCTAGAATAGCTTGTTCTTTAGTTACAAAATTTGGGCATCAAAGAGAAGGCCAAATGAAGAGAGAAAATGATTTGCAAAATAGAATTGAGTAATGGGTGTAAAAAAATACTGACATAAATTAGTTGTTAGGGGAGCTTTATTCTCTTACATGAGCCCCCTCGGTCGATTTCGATTAGTTAAGCACGTCAGTTTTATATCCATTGGAAACTTCTGCATTGTGGCAGTGTTGGCTAACGGATTAGTTCTTTATTCTATGGTTAAGATACTAAACAGGCGATAAAACTGATTCTTTGTGCAAAAACTATATCCCCAAGAAAGAATCAGTCTTCAGCTATTTCATGCATTAGTGCATGACTTGCTGGATTATGTGCTAAATAAGTGGAAATTAAGTTATCACAATGCAACAAAATAGGAGAGGAAATAAGATAATGACACTCATGAAGATTACATAAACCTCTCTAGAAGGAAAAGCACGATGAATTTCTGATGTGCTTGGGCTGGCACTATGGGTTATTTTCAGGAAAGAAAACAAGTTATCATACACCAAATGATGATATAAGGGGTATTGTCTAAACTTGAACCCACATCCAATAGAACCATAGAAAGTTCTTGTGACATCAAGATCTCAAACCAAATTGGGTTGTTTCTTCTTTCACCATCACTGTTTATTGATCACAAATACACAACTTTAAACAAACATTACAACACCCATCCCTCCTTAGCTCGAAATCCTGTAGACACACTCAAGTTTTTAGCAAACATTAAGTAACTTAAGATTACACAAGACCTTATATGAATTTATTTTACAAGTCTCTAAAAGATTAACTTATTCATAAAGTCCCTCTATTTGGACTCCAGAGCTTTCTGCATGCCCACAACATATTTGTTAGGATGCAAGCAAAGTCCCACATCGTTCAAATAAGAGGATGGACATGGATTTATATACACATAATTGTCTCCATTGGTTGAGAGGTCTTTTGAGTGATATCCAAAAGCAAATCCGTGAGGGCTTGGGCCCAAAGTGGACAATATCTCACCAATGTGGAGACAAGTGTCTATGTGTGGTACCCACCATGCTCAACAAGTGGTATCAGAGCCAATGGTCTGATCAGGTGACCGGCTCGACGAGTATGATGGTTGACAGGTAGATCCAAGTTTGGGATCTCTTGTGTCGAAAGTCTTTCTAACGGTGGGTCCATGTGTGTATGCATGGTACCCACCATGCTCAACAAGTGGTATCAGAGCCAATGGTCTGATCAGGTGACCGGCTCGACGAGTATGATGGTTGACAGGTAGATCCAAGTTTGGGATCTCTTGTGTCGAAAGTCTTCCTAACAATGGGTCCATGTGTGTATGTGTGGTACCCACCATGCTTAACAAGCGGTATCAGAGCTAATGGTCTGATCAGGTGACCGGCTCAACGAGTATGATGGTTGACAGGTAGATCCAAGTTTGGGTTCTCTTGTGTCGAAAGTTTTCCTAACGATGGGTGCATGTGGAAGAGAGGCTTCCTAGTAACATGGAGGGTTCCTAGTAACATGGAGGGTAGGAGGCGTGTCCCCCTATCATGAGGGAGGTCATGATGGGTGCATGTGGAAGAGAGGCTTCCTAGTAACATGGAGGGTTCCTAGTAACATGGAGGGTAGGAGGCGTGTCCCCCTATCATGAGGGAGGTCATGATGGAGCGGCAGTGTAAGCACTCTGAGTGTAAGTGAGCTCTGTGGGGCCATGTGTTAAAAGTCTTCCTAACGGTGGGTCTATGTGGAAGAGAGGCTTCCTAGTAACATGGAGGGTGGGGCCATGTGTTGAAACTCTTCCTAATGGTGGGTCCATGTGGAAGAGAGGCTTCCTAGTAACATGGAGGGTTAGGCGGCGTGTCTCGCTGTCATGAGGGAGGTAATGATGGAGCGGCGGTGCAAGCACTCTGAGCGTAAGTGAGCTCTATGGGGCCTTGTGTCGAAAGTCTTCCTAACGGTAGATCCATGTGGAAGAGAGGCTTCCTAGTAACATGGAGGGTTAGGAGGCGTGTCCCCCTGTCATGAGGGAGGTCATGATGGAGCGGCGGTGCAAGCACTTTGAGCATGAGTAAGCTCTGTGGGGCTACCATCGGATAATACTCATAGTTTCCGCTGCAGGGGATGGGTTAAACCGTGGTCATTTTGGGTGATGTTCAAAAGCAAATCCGTGAGGGCTTGGGCCTAAAGCGGACAATATTTCATCAATGTGGAGACAAGTGTGTATGTGTGGTACCCACCATGCTCAACAAGTGGTATTAGAGTCAATGGTCTGATCAGGTGACCGGCTCGACGAGTATGATGGTTGACAGGTAGATCAAAGTTTAGGATCTCTTGTGTCGAAAGTCTTCCTAACGGTAGGTCCATGTGGAAGAGAGGCTTCCTAGTAACATGGAGGGTTAAGAGGCGTGTCCCGCTGTCATGAGGGAGGTCATGGTGGAGCGGCAGTGCAAGCACTCTGAGTGTAAGTGAGCTTTGTGGGGCCATGTGTCGAAAGTCTTCCTAACGGTAGGTCCATGTGGAAGAGAGACTTCCTAGTAACATGGAGGGTTAGGAGGCGTGTCCCGCTGTCATGAGGGAGGTCATGAGCACTCTGAGCGTAAGTGAGCTCTATGGGATCTTGTGTCGAAAGTCTTCCTAACGGTGGATCCATGTGGAAGAGAGGCTTCTTAGTAACATGGAGGGTTAGGAAGCATGTCCCCCTGTCATGAGGGAGGTCATGATGGAGCGGCGGTGCAAGTACTCTGAGCGTGAGTGAGCTCTATGGGGCCACCATCGGATAATACTCGTAGTTTCCACTACAGGGTATGGGTTAAACCGTGATCCTTTGTTTGAGGGGAGAATTGTTAGGATGCAAGCAAAGTCACACATCGTTCAAACAAGAGGATGAACATGGATTTATATACACACAATTGTCTCCATTGGTTGAGAGATCTTTTGGGTGATGTCTAAAAGCAAATCCGTGAGGACTTGGACCCAAAGCGGACAATATCTCATCAATGTGGAGACAAGTATGTATGTGTGGTACCCATCATAAAAACGTCTGCCACCAAGTGTCTCTTCTAGCTGCTTAAAGATAGAGATTAATTCCTTCTTCCCTTCCTCATGCTCCTCTCCTTTAGAAAGCCACATTTTCCTCCAAGTATCATACACCTGTGTTGAAGCTCACAATTTTTATTGGTAATGAAAATATAGATAAAATCTGGTACACCTCTTGCATTAAAATGAATAAATTACCAAAAAACAACGAAATTTCCCTTTTGGACTCCATTTTTTTTTCTTTTTTGTATGAGATTGTTTTAAATATTAGTTTTATATTTTAGGAAATGTTGGCATGATCGTGCAGTATCTCCTTGTTTGTTTCAACTTTCAAGGGTTGAAAAACAAAAACCTGCTTAGAACTTACCTGTAGACATATATAACACTATTTTCCACCAAATTATATGCACGGAGGACTCGTGAGGATGATTAAACCCTTATAAAAATATACTGTAAAAAGCTTCTTCACAAGTTAACTTACATGAGTTAAAACCATTATTTTGGAGAATTTAACAGGAGATTTTAGCTCATAAAGAAACTTTTTTTTTTCTTTCTAGAATTGTTTATAAAGAAATTTACCCAAACTGTCCAATATGTGATAGTAGCAACCATAAAACCCCTGTACTTCAAACTTCAAATTTCAATCACATAAGAACATATTAAAGGAGGTACCTTTTTGTCAATGTAATCTACCCAGAATCTGGCATGAGCTCTCTCATAAGGGTCAGAGGGCACGATTGGAGCCTTATCATTCCAGACTTCATCAATGTACTGCACTATAATTGCAGATTCACAGATGGGTTTGCCATTATGGATGAGAACTGGAATTTTCTTGTGAATGGGGTTCATCTGCAAAAGCAATGGACTCCATTTCCCCAGATTCTCTTCCCTGTATTCATACTGAACTCCCTTTTCAGCTAATGTAATCCTAATCCTCATCCCAAACATGCTGGCCCATGTATCCAACAGAACCACCTCGTCTTCCATTGTTGCACAGGATCACCCAAACCCAAGAGAAGTTGTGCACTAGCTAGCTTTTAAAGTAGTAGTAAAAAAGACAGACCTTTTTTAATGTGGCAATCAAATTTCCTACACGGCATATTCGTTTTTAATGTCATAAAATTTTCTGCATGTTTTGGTCCCTCAAAATTTTCGAACTACTCTTTTAGGACTGAAGCTAGGGTGGTCCACTAGTTAATGTGGTTTGCCGTGATCAAAATCACAAGTACCATTAGATTTATTAATAGATTAATATGAGATTGAGATAAGTGGTGTGTGACCTTTTTGTATAAGTTATGTTAAATTTATTATTTTTTTAGAATATAAATGTAATTTACTTATTTATCTTTTACTGTATAGCATCTTCGTCCCAAAATGTAGAGGAGAGTTAAAGTGAGAAGGAAAAGTTAGAAGATTTTTACATTTCCAACGAGATGGCCATACCAAAATGGGGAGATATGCGACTCATTTGGATCCAAATTAAAGATATAGTTTTCGCTGTGAAAAAAAGAATGCCATGCACTTAGATGGAAATGATGAATGAATTATATTTCTACTGTTCAAACAACATGAGCTATAGAACAAAAAGGTATTCAATAGGTACCAAGCTTTGTCCATTTGATCCTGCAGATATTTGTACTAAACTCAATGCAGTTTAGAACAAAATAGTGTGATCCAAATGTTTGCTCATGTGGTCCCGTGCAATGTAATCAAATTAGTAATTAGAAAGAAAATAATTGCATTATTACAACGATCATGTACGAATTAAATTTCTATTGTTTAAATTTTTTTAAGTAGAAAGATGATTCATTATTTCTGTATAAAATGGGTGAAATATTATATTTTTCTAAGATAATGATATTTTTGAATTAACAATATTTCAATAAGAATAATTTACTAAATGTTTCCAGTGTCTTATTATTTATGTATGAAATCGGTAAAGTATTATTTTTTTTAAAGATTTTAATGATATTTTAAAAATAAAAGTAATTTACTAAATGTTTCTAGTGTTTGTAATTTTCTCGTACAAAACTGTTGCTTTGATCCTGCAAGAAGTATTAGTACTAAACCGAATGCGGTTTAGAACAAAATAGTGTGTTCTGAATGTTTGCTTGTGTAGTCCTGCACAAGGTAATCAAATTAGTAATTAATAAGAAAATGATTGCATTATAAAGATTGTGGATGAATTATATTTCTATTGTTTAAATTTTTTTAATGTAGAAAGATGATTCATTATTTCTGTAAAAAAATAGGTGAAGTATTACATTTTTTTTAAGATAATAAGGATATTTTTTATTAAAAAATATTTTAATAAATTAACTTATTAATTTTTTTTGGTGTTTTACATTTAAATTAAATATATAAGAATCAAATATTCTAGCATTTATCAATTAATTTAATACAATAAAATTACATTTGTTTGTCAGTGGTATATAAGCTAGATAACATGGGGTAGAGAACAAAAAGGTATTGAACATGTAATTGTTCTTCAAATAAATTCATAAGTTTGTACTACAACCAAATGTTATCATATATATTTTTTTCAATATAACAGGTAAATTAATTCAAAATAAAAAGTTAGTATTAGAACAATATGAGACCATTAAAGTAGTTTCTCCCAAGACAAAACCAAATGTTACCATTAACAACACAATATCACCAAAGAAAAAGAAGGTAGTTGAAATCTCTCTGATAGAAAAATGAAGACTGATAAACTGAAAAGTAGATATAATCAAGATAGGTCTATTAAAAATAGTTGAAATCATTAAAGACCATATGCCAGCTTCAGAATTATCATAGCAAAATTCCAAAAACCTAGCATAGAAGGGCCTCATGAATATTGAAATTAAATTCAAATAAAACCTACAAGAAAAATTGAAATTACAGTTAACATATGTAAAGAATACAAAACTTTTAGAAAATATGATAAGTTAAACCAGGGAATAAATTACCATTAATGTAAATACAAAGTCAAAAAGATTAGTTTCACTTCTGCTTTTCACATGAATCAAACATGAGTGTAAGTTATCCCAATTAACAGCTCCCCAAGCATTTTTTTTTAATGTTAGAAACGTCTTGAAGAAGACTAATATACTTTATTCTGATATCGGAATGCGATATCATACAACCTATACTATACCTATGCCAAGGAGGGCCACTATTCTACATATTTGATTCAGTCCATTCTCGTCCTTATTAGAATTAATTTCACAGTAGGAATTACTAATTTCATAAACTAGAGTTTGTAGTGATATTATTGTCTTATAACATTCTAATACAATGAGATTAGTATACTCACCAACACCTAATTTTTCATTATCTAAGCAAACTGGTTGGTTTACCATCAATTGTTAAACTAATTATTCGGAATATGCCCTGAGGACTAAACAATAAATTTTTTTGTTGACCTAACATAAAGAGCCCTAAGTTTGGTTATCTTTTGGTTAGGGTTATTAAATGGTCTTTTTGTAATAATGCAATCATTTTCTTTATAATTACTAATTTGATTACCTTACGTGGGATCACATGGACAAACATTTACAACACACTATTTTGTTCTAAACCGCATCCAGTTTAATACAATACCCACAGATCAAATGGGCCAAGCTTAGTACACACTATTTTGTATTATATCAAAATATTTTACATATTATTTTAATATTGGGGTTACTACTATACCCTCAACAAATGAGGAGTTTTGGTATTGTATCTATTATGTACCGACACATCAATTAAATGTCATGTCAACTTTTAAAATAAATTTTATTTTTTTTATATTATTTATTTTTAAGTTCTTATTTAAAATAAAAAATAATTATTATTAGACATTTTGTTTCTCCTTGTTGGGGCTTTGGTGTAGTTTTGTTTGAGAAAGAAGTTCAACACAAATTTGATCAAAGATTCATGGAGGTGTGTGTAATATTTTGAATTTATGATATTATATTATATATATAAATATATATATATATATATTTATATATATAATATTTCTTTTTTAAATTTTAGTTATCCTATTTAAAATAAATAAAATTGGTTGTACTATTATTTTTTAGATAGTTATAATTCACATTTTTAGAATAATATTTTAATCGTCATATAAATAAATAAATAAATATATATATAAATAGTCATATTTAAATACATATATATATATAGATGACATCCAATAATATTATAAATATTTATAATATTATAATTATAAATAAGATTATCTATTATAATGTATATGATAACTTATATATTAATAAGTAAGTAAATATATTGGTATAATTAAAATAAATAAATAAAAGACAAGTGATGTAATACGTATTACATGTGTGCTTAAGTGTAGATAATATGAAGGGGGTACGTGTAATATGTGTGCAGTGAATGATGGGTGGAGAATGCTATACGTGTATGTGGCATGTGAATAGGAATAGATAAAAAGGAATATTAGGGCAGTGAAATGATGAGTAAGATAAATATAAACGTGAGATGGAGAAGATAGATAAGTACCGCAGTAGATAACGCATAACGTATAAATGTGTAGAGTAATTATGGAAGAGCACAGAGGTTACGCATGACCTTACGTAATCCAAGGGGTATTACACCCCTATAAATAGGTGTTACCATTGAAACGTTCGAGCATTGTGAAGCAAAGAGTGGCCCATCCACCAAATTGATGTGGATAATGCCTTTCTACATGGTGATTTAAAGGAAGAACTATACATGGCACAGCCACAGGGATTCCACACAGGGAGTTTAAATACTGTTTGCAAATTAAGAAAAGCAATATATGGTCTCAAACAAGCTCCACGAGCTTGGTTTCAGAAATTTACTATCAATTTACTCCGGTTGGGTTTTCAACAAGCTAGAACAGATCACTCCTTGTTTATTTTCACTTCCAAAACTACTTCCATATACATCCTCATATATGTTGATGATATAATCATTACCAGCAATTCTTCTACAGCCATACAAAATCTGATTCAGACTCTTCATAAATCTTTTCCTCTCAAAGATCTTGGCAAACTTGATCACTTCCTAGGAATAGAAGTCAGCTCTGACAATGCAGGAGGCATTCACCTTTCTCAAACCAAGTATCTAATCGATATTCTTGCTAAGCTCAACATGTCTAATGCCAAGCCTATTAAAACTCCAATGGCACCCTCCTCAAGACTCACAAATGATGGCACTGAAATCTGTCAGGATTCAAGTCTTTACAGGTCAGTAGTTGGAGCCCTTCAGTATCTTACAATTACTCGACCATACATTGCATACACAGTAAACAAGCTGAGCCAATTCATGCACCATCCTCTTGAGATCCATTGGAAAGCAGCAAAGAGGCTGCTAAGATATCTTAAATGTACCTCTCAACATGGTTTACATTATAAGAAATCTAGTGCTATTGATATTCTTGCTTACTGTGATTCGGATTGGGCAAGTGATCAAGAAGACATGAGATCAACATCTAGGTATTATGTGTATCTTGGATCCAATATTGTATCTTGGATGGCAAAGAAGCAAAGAGTTGTCTCCAGATCTAGCACAGAGGCAGAATTTAGAAGTCTAGCAAGTCTGGTTGCAGAAATTCAATACATTGAGAATCTCCTCTTAGAACTTCATATCAGGAATAAACAGTCACCGCTGATTTGGTGTGATAATCAAGGAGCCGTCCTACTCTCTGCCAATCCAGTCATGCATACTAAAACAAAACACTTTGAATTAGACTTATGGTTTGTGAGAGAAAGAGTGGCTCGGGGGCAAATTCAAGTTCGTCATATTCTAGCAAGATTTCAAGTAGCAGATCTGTTCACTAAGTCTCCAAGCTCTGCAATATTCCTAGAATTAAGGGACAAACTCAATGTTGATAAACAATCTACCCTGAGTTTGAAGGGGGATAAAAAGGATGTTAAGTTATCCCTCAGTCATAACAGATACAATCTGTTAGCTGAGTTAGAATAGCTTCCATATTAGTTAGTTAGTTATTATTATCAGTTAGTATATATACTTATGTTGTACATGTCTGTGCGTGGTTTTTACAATACACTATAGCAATATTGATTTTCTGTTCATCAGTCTCCCTGGTTATCTTTCAAAACATATAAAATTAGGGTTAATATCTATATTTTAGACGTTACCATTTTAATGGTATCAGAGCAACGTTCCATGTGTAACTTGGGGAAATGTGCTAACCATGTTTCTAGTATAATAAACTAATCTATAAATTTCAGATGGCAGGAAGGAGAAATACAAAACTGACTGAGGCTGTGCAGACTATTAGGGACATGGCTGCCGCCTTATTAAGGAATCAACGACCGGAAGGAATGGGGGAGTCACAGGGACTGGTAGAATTTAGAAGCAATAAACCTTCCCAATTTGACGGAGGATATAATCCTGAAAAGGCTGAGTTATGGATAAAAGAAATAGAAAAAATATTTCGAGCCATGAACTGTCCTGATAACCAAAAAGTAAATTATGCAGTGTTTATGTTAGTAGGAGAAGCAGAATATTGGTGGGATAGTACTAGGAGACTATTAGAAGGAGGAGGAATAATTATTACATGGGAAGTATTCAGAGCTAAATTTTTTGAAAAATATTTTCCTAATGATGTTAGGAGGGCTAAGGAAATAGAATTTATGCAATTAAAACAAGGGAACATGACAGTGGGAGAATATGCTTCTAAGTTTGAGGAATTGGGAAAATACTCTACTTTTTTTTATCACCCTGATGAGAGAATGAAGTGTATTAAATTTGAGGATGGACTTAGACCAGAATTAAGAAAGGCAGTAGGGATATTAGAAATCTCTGATTTTCCTACATTAATACACAAGTGTCGATTTCTGGAAGGTTTTGATCATAATAAGGACAATAGACCAAAATCCTTTGGCCCTCGGTTTAATAAAAAAAGGAATAATGAAGGAAAACCTTATGATCGACCTCAATGGAAAACCCAATCTTCTCAATTTACAGGAAATTCCAGTAGACCCATGAATAGTCAAGCTAAGTTTCTTAAGTATGGACAGGGTCATTATACTAAAAACTGTCATCTCAAAGGACCTGTTTGTTTCAAGTGTAGAAAGCCAGGTCATGTGTTTTCTGAGTGTGGACAACCAAAGGCGCACGCAAATACCTCTGGACTCAAACCAAAACTTCTTACAACTGGGAGAGTTTATACCATGACTGGAACTGAAGTTTCTCAAAACAACGATCTAATACAAGGTAAATGTTTCATTAAAGGCAAAACTTTAAATGTACTGTATGATTCAGGCGCAACTCATTCTTTTATCTCCAATGATTGCGTTCAACACCTACAATTGTCAGTTTCTCCTTTAGAGTCTAATCTAATTGTTTCGACCCCTACAAACAAATTTATGATTGCCAATAAAGTTTGTTTAGATTGTCTTATTTTTATTGGTGATAAAAAATTTCTTGTGAATTTGATCTATTTACCTTTATCACAATTAGATGTGATTTTAGGTATGGACTGGTTATCTTCCAATCATGTCCTTCTCAATTGTGTAGAAAAGTCTGTAATGTTTTATTCAAACAGCAACCTCCTAAACTTCGAAAATTTCATAAAAACCTGAAAATCAGAAAATTTCCACCACATGCAATCCATGCAATATAATACTTAAACCCCATAAAATTCAAAAACGTCCCTAGACATAGACCCCTTGAATATGCAAAAGAATTGCATCATCTTCATCACAAATCGCATAATGAATACAACAAACGAACAAACAAAATTAAATTTGAGTTTAATTATAAATATTCAATTCGAGTATTTTGAATATATAACTACTGCTTGTTGAAAATAGAGGATCTTCCAAACCTTTGTCGAAAGCTAACATGAGGATGGGTACCAGCAATTTAGCATCTTCTACGTTCGTTGACATATGAAAGTTAAAGATAGTGTCCATCGGATAAACCTTAAATACTTTAGAGAAAAACAATAAAATATTAAATTTCTTTATTGACTAAAATTAATGATCCACTTTACCTTTTGAAAAAGTTAAATAAAAAGAGTTTTTGTATAATTTAAGGACATAAATTAACTTTTTTTATACCACTAATATTATATGGAAAACAATCATGCTCAAATTGAAAGAAAGAATTATGAAAAACAAAATTCTTCCTCTAATTATTTAACATATTTGTATACTTAGAATTCGAATTCAAAATTACTAATATCTGGTTAAGTTGAAATAACTTTTTGTGAATTGATTCGCATGTTTAAGGGTAGAATATAAATTAATTTAAATTACATTCAAAATTTATTTTATTTTATCTTATTCTAAAAATTATTTATGTAAATAAAGACATTATGTCTGCCATGTGTTTGGATGCCTGTTGAGAGCAGCAGTAACTATTAGCTTTTGCGTCTTTTTCTGTTTCTCACGTGATTTGGAGAAAAATGTGGCTATTATTTGGACAAGGATTAGGAGTTTAGTTTTTTAAAAAATATAAAGCAAACAAAATCAACCACTTAGAGAAGCTTCCAGTCCAGAATAGTTTATTATAATATTTAAAAAAATTATTATATAATGATATACATTCTAAATGATATAATATTTATTATTAAAAATTATTTTTATTTATACTATAATATATATATTAAATAGTGTATATATAGATTATTGTAATGACCTTCCATGATCTTTATATTTAGTGAAATCGCACTATTACTAATGAATTAAGAGAAATATTAAAACTGGATAACTCATACATCCATATATATATATATATAAGAATAATAATAAATAAGTTTCTATGTACAAAATATAACACTATATATATACAGTCATCCCAAAAATAATATCACTTTAGTGTCTATCAAGCACAGACAAAATAGTTACCCAAAATGGTAACTCTAACACGAGGACAAAACTACTCATCCCGCAGCGGTCACAGCAACCAGCTCCAACCTAACCCTGACCTGCTCACATACATGATCATCGCAGCCCATCAACATGAAAACAGAAGGGTAAGTTAAAGTTCAAAAAGCAACCATATAAGTACAAAATAAAATTTATACTACACATGCATCCAAATCAAGTCCCAATGGGACTCCCATCTCAAATCAATCATCATTTCATCAAACATGAAGTCAATACTACACACTTCATCATACTAGAAATCATGCAATAATAGCAACTCATTACATATATCAATGCATATCAATCATCTAATGCGTCGTCACGCATTCACCTAAGAGATCTCCCTAACAGCAGAGCAGTATAAGTGACATCCCAATCCTATTGAAACCACCCCAACCGTTTTTACGCCCAATGTGCCTGCTCGGTCACAGCTAAACAGGATATAAATCCTCACTCAGGTTTACTCGGATGTTACTTACACACTTGGAAGTCCGATTCTACCGTCAGGTATAGCACAACTGGATACAAGCTTACCACGACCTTGGCATGCATTACCAAGTCATTTGTGGTGTTCGCCCACCGACTATCCGCAAGGAACTACACACCTTCCCCAGTACTTGGTTAAGGGAATAACCCTCGACCTCATACTCCGCTCCAACACTAGCTAAGGACTTAGAGGAGACTCACCCAAACCAGTGGTCTATCTAAGCATCACTCTCACCCAAAACCAATGGCCTATCGAAACACCACTCTCATTTATATCAGTGGCCTATCCAAGCAACACTCTCAAGAAACTCTATATGAACTCTTCTAGTTCGAAAATATTTCCCTCTCCTCAAGTCCTAGGCTAAACACATGTCTTAAGGCATCACATGCAATAATGCATCATACATCATACATGTCCAATCCACCATCATGATCAATATCATCCTCATATGAACATACACACATGTCATATCATGTTTAAACATTCATATATATATCACCACCAAGCATACATATGAATCATACATCACCATCTCTCCTTAGGATTTAATTTTTTCGTTAGACTTGGTGAGAGTGGTCCTTGAATTGATCTTTGGTATCTCTCAAGCTCTCACCTTAGAAAACGTTTAGATAGTTTATTTCTTGGGCCTTAGGGCTTTGTATTTCTTTTAGGCCTTGTATTTCTGGCCATTAGACTAGGAATTTCATTTCAAGGTCATTTGAATTTAGGGTTTATTAAGGTTGCATATGAATGTTCATTAGAATGTAATTCACTTTGCATTTGGAATGCATTTCGGCCATGTGCACACATGCACATGGTGTGACCGAGATGCAACTCAAATGGAAGGTAAATTACATTCTAAATGAAGTGCACATGGTATGGTTGTGGCCACCAAGGAGAAGTGAAGAACCGAAGGAAAGATCCGCACACGAACAATCCTAAGCCCTGGGAATCCCTTTCGCAGCTCCTGGAGGCGCCCAATGTGTGAATGAGGGTTTCTCCCCCGAAAATGGCTTCAAATACGAGCTTGGGGAGTCAGATTAGGGTTTACGCGCCTGGCGCATAAGTCTTCGCGCCCGACGCATGACCTTCCAAATACTCTCTGCCTTCTATGACAAGCCCGACGCAATTCTAATTGCGCCCGGCGCGATGGCTTCCAGAGGTGGGTACTCTGTTTATCTCGCCCGGCGCGGGTCATTTTGAGCCCGGCGCAAAACCTCTTCTCTGCTCCTTAGCCTCTTGGATTTCCAATCCTAAGAATCTTCAATCCTCAATTCTCTAGCTCAATACCTGCACAAAAAATGAGGTGTATTAAGGTATTGTTAGCTAAATTTGGGTTAGTTATATCTGCACACAAAATGAACCAAAAAGAGAACAATTATATTGCAATGGTTCAGAGGATGAGTGGAATTTGTTTAATAAGTCTCATCCAAAAAGAGGTAAAATTGAGACTTAACAATAATCTTGTTCCTTATTTAATTAATTATATTTATTTAACAAGTGTTCTCACTCCTTATTTCTTGTTTAAAAAAAAATTTAACCTATCATAAAATAGATGGATCTACCAATCCTACCGGGTCCTTTCTCTTCCGTTATCA